TTTCAATTAAAACATCAAGCATGAGAAAAAATTTAAAATCATAATCTAATTAATCAATAAAAATCAAAGAAATAAATGTTTTCAAAAAAAATATTTAAAGGATACGCAGCTGGATAAAGTTCTAATTAATCCAAAATATCTCTTGACAGCCACAGCATCAAATTAAAGTTGATAGGAGAAAAATATTATTATTATTTTTTTTTCGTGAAAATGATTCATAAATTAACACCGAGAGTGAAGGAGAAATTGAAGCTTATTTTTCTTCGAGTTCTGAGTAGGAGGGAGGGAATGTCGAACATCTAAGTAGACCATCGTAAACCATTCCGGGGTGGAAAACACTTCATCGACGATTAATCCAGAGCAGCACTGGCATAACTAAACTTTCCGTAGGCCACTTGTAAAGGGATGGGATTTCTTCAGAACGGAATTAGGCGATTTTTTCCCAGTCACTCGGATGGGAACCTTCGGCGATTCTCTTTTTCACCCCCGTTGGGTGATGGGATGAGAAATTGCCATAGCCGGCCTCTAAAGAACTGCGTAGCACTGCCAGGCCTAAGATTCATATTTATAAACACTGGTTTTCTTTTACAGGTTTCCTCCGCAAAGTAAAAATCCTGAGCGGCTTGAAATAACGGTGTATCCACACCGATATTTTTTAATTAATTAGAAGTCAAAGCAGCATGATTAACTAGTCCATGTTGTGCATTATCTTTTATTTCACCATTCATTTGTATTATATATATATATATATAAATGCTTAAACATTGTGTTTTATAAGAAATTATTGCATCCATATTTAGTAAATCTATAGAAGTGAAATAATTATTTGTTTCAGCATTTTACTGTCGTCAACCTCCTCCTATTCTAAATGGTTACTCTTCCATGTCTTCCAATGCAACTATCTTTGGAACAGTCACAAGATATTATTGCAACGAAGGTTTTGAGATAAAAGGAAAAAATAGTATAAAATGTGTCGCCAGTGGTTACTGGGATGGAGAGCCACCTCTATGCTTAGGTATATTTTAGTTCTTAATAAATATTTAAAAAAACGAAATTCTGAATAATAAAACTAAATGTATGATATTTAAACTATTCATTTGATATTTTTTTCCATTCATGTGGTAACCGAAAATTTTAATTTTCAAAATAAAAAATTCTTATTACGATATATCTAATAAAAAATATTAAACTGAAAGGTAAATTTAACCGAATAAAGGGTTTTTATACCATGCGCTAAGGTACCATGATAAAATTACCAAATTTTATCCCAGAGTATAAGACCGCATATTATTCTTAATTTTATCACAATCATTTCCAGAGCACTTCGCTTAAAATTACTGTGCTTTCTGATGTTACTATAGAGCAGTAACAGGACAAATTTTACCATATTCTGGTAATTTTGATCATACATTTTTTTCTCACACGTTAAAACTAGCTTGATTGCTCTATTATATTAATATAACTCCGGAGGCAATCAAACAGGTTGTCTATCCTTACTTCCTCAGAGGTGATTCAATAGTGCTTCTTCCTTACTTATATATTGATTAGTAACACCAAACGTTTTATTCTCTTCTTCCATTTTATGCACACAAAAAAATGCTTTTACCTTTATTTAATGCAAGACTAATTGCTTTGAGCAGTATACATTAAGTGCGGTCATAAGGGAACATTTTGTATATAGCACCATATATAGTACCAAAAAATCATGCATAATGATATAAAAAGGAGTTTTAAGTTGTAAGGTAAACGAATTTTTATGTCTTTTTAAAAAAAGTAATCTTATACGGCAAAATACAATCGGCCAAATAGTTTTCGAGTTATCAAATTAGCTTTACTCATTGTATTATTTATTAATGAATTATCAAACTATATTTAGTTATTAGGTTGTTTTTATTTTCAGTTAAAATTAAATGGATTTAAAATTGAATGAAGTTGCATTTATTTAAAATTGAAGTACCACAAGTCATGTTGAAACCAGTAAAAGTACGCTATAGGATTGCGTCTTAACGCTATCTTATATTGTTATTTTACTTACATTATTATTGCTTAAGGGTAAAAAGTAGTTACCCAGAATTCTTATTACGAATTTTAAATGCTTGCTCCACTTGTGTTTAGCACGCTTCTTCATCCTTGCATGTATCACCATTAACTTTAAACATATGAACTAGTTTGTGAATAATTTGGAATTGTATTTCTTTTCAGCAATAGAAGAAAAATTAACTTATGTACATAGTTCAAGAAGTGAAGTTACCTCAACAACAATGCAAAGTAATGAATCTTCTATCGAAACTACAACTGGTTCAACAATTCATAAATCAGCTGAAACAAACACGCCAAAGAAAAATTTTACAATAACATCAATGGAACATATTTCAAGTAACATACCAAGTACTTTGACTGATCAAGTTTCATTTTTCACCAGCACCTCAACAAGTACTTTTTCCAAAAGCCGACCATCCTGGACACCGCCACCCCTTGAAATAATTCCGATAGATGATGATTCATTGAATACACTTGACGAATCTCCGAGTAACAGAATTCCCAGTTATCAAAAGCCTTCGGACAAAAGTTTATATTCAAATCAGCGCACTACTTTAGAGAATCAAAATTCAGTTGTTACAGAATCAACTATGACACCAGACATTCCTATGGTTCTAGTGAAAAATAATGCAGGATCTGATATCAACAAAAAAGTTAAATATGGCAATAAATTTGACGGAAAATCATTAAACAATGCTCAAGCAAAACTAAATATGGGTAAGACGTTTTAATTCTTCTTATGGTTGGGGTCTTCAACATTTTGCCCCCTAAGGACTACATCTAGGAAATCATACAGGCTACACGTTATGTTAGCTAATATAGGTTAAGAAATTCAATAACAGAATGCCGATTCCTGGCATCCTTCAGGATTCAATAGCTGGATATGACTAATTTTCTAACATTTATAAAGTTTAAAAAAGACCTTGTGAGCAAATTATCTTAGTAGATGATGCAAACAAAAAAGCATCATGTTAGTATTTCTAGACGGTTTTGCATCAATAGAATTTGTAGGGCTGGGATAGTCTGATTGGTAGGGTACTGGGCCCAAGTACAAGAGGTCGTGGGTTCGATCGTCGTAGGCCGAAGACTGTATTAAATGGTGACTGATGCATATTAAATCTGTCAAGTCACAAAGTCTTCCATGTTCTCATAGCAAATCATACCTCTGGGGTACTAATCCTTGTCTTCAGGATTGATTCAAACTTGTGGAGTAGAACACTAGTAGCCGTAAACCCAAAATTGGGTCGACTGTTCAACGACGGTTATAAAGTTAAATAGTCCTATCTTCTGCTCATTCATAGAAATTGCCAATATGGCAAATTTGCTGAAGTTAATTCGCATTCATTCAAGTCATCAGTCAAATAAGAATATAAATCCGAACCATGAGTTTTATCTTTAATTACCACAATGCTAGCCAATTCGTCTACTACAGTAATTTTTTTTCCATCAAAACCTACAATATCTGTTGAATTTGTCGTTTCGTTATAGGTGCAGAATAAAACACAAAATTCTGCAGTCAGATTCTCTCGCTAGACTAGCTACATACAATACTAGACAATCCGTTATTCGAAATAGGGCAAGAACATTAAATACATGCATAAGATATTCTTTACAAATTCTGCAAATAAAGCAATCTGCCTTATTATATAGAGCTCCATTTTACTTGAAAAATAATCTCAATTTATTTATTTATTAACAGTTTCTTTTTATAACTACGACTCACCATTTCATGCGCAGTAAATAAAAAAATATATCTGAAATGTATTATGTAACTAAAATGAATAAAACACTGCTTATGAAACGAGTAATTCAGAATCTATTGCGCCATTTCTACGTTAATTTGCTTTAATGCAGCTTACATGAAAGCAAATCCTCGTGAAAGTAATTTAAAGTGAAAAAACTATTTTTAAAAGTGTAGCTGTCAAAGTGGAACTTAATCACTTTATTCCATTTTATTTTAAAGTGTCTAAACAGTCAATCATTTTCAGCTACAAATTATGTCCTTCTTATTATTGTCAAAAATAATTACCATTCTGTAAATTTATTTGAACTATTTAATTTTATTTTTGAGCTGTTTGAGGTAATTCATTGTACCACTAGCGTTGAAGACCCCGAACTTATGCAAAAAATAAATTGTGTTACGTAATCATACCTAATAAGTATTTTGTTTTTTAACGAAGACTCCTGTATTTTACAACTATATCCTGTATATTCTCAAATTTCTTCATACTTTTTGAACCTGAAGAAATTTTTAAAAAAAATTTGGTGATAAAATATCTACTGATGACAAAAATACTTCTCTTACTCCTTAAAAGATGGTGCTATTGCCAGTACTGATGTTGAGTGTTAATAGTTTTAGTCGAGCATTAATGATTCAGGGAATAGAAAGCTTGCCTTCCAATGAGGTGAACCCAGGATCAAATCCCAGCGATGACTAGTCGATACGAATTCCGCATCCGGCTAGCACCAACCACAGTGCTGACATGAAATATCCTCAGCGGTAGATGGATCACGGGTTAGAGTCCCTTATCGTCAAACTAACCGTGGGTGGTTTTCGTGATTTTCCTCTCCATGTATTTTCAATGCGGGTTAGTTCTATCATAAAGTCCTCCACGAAGGCAAATTTTTCCCAATACTTGATCCATAAGTTCTCTTGTCTTCTGGATTGGGTTCAAAATTACAAGGCTACAGAGTCGTAAACCCAATAAAGGTGGTTTGTAAAATCTCCGTTATTTATTTCTTCAATGTTGGCAGCTATGCGTAAGATATATATTTTCAGAATAAATGAAGTAAACAAATTGTAAGAGTCACAAATGAATGTTTCATATTCGAGGAAGGCAAAGGTAGGATTTGTGGATGGAGGGATTTCAGTATCACTCAACAAAAGGTTTTCATATATCTGATCGTAAAGAACTCCCAGTCAGTAAGTTTGATCAGTCTACCGTAAATTGCTCGACCACGCTACCAAAGCTGGGGAGTCATCCCCTCTGCAGAGGATCAAAATTGTCTTCGGACAGACTGTCGCCAATAGCCCATTGTGCAGCTTCAGTGTGACGTAAATAAACTACCTTCTTTGATTACTTATTATATACATCGGATTGGGTTATTTAGTTCTCACCTAAAGAAATTTGGGTCAATATTCTTAAGAGATTATAAAAATATATATATTAAGACTAATACAATTCTTGAAATACAGGTGGAATTATCGCCTTAGGAGTATTTGGGGGCTTCATCTTACTTGCCATTACTGTTACATTGATTCTCATCTTTGTTCGCAGGTAATGTATTCCTTATTACTACTTTCTAATCTAACTCTTCTAAACTAACTATTAATAACTACTTTTAATAGTTAATCCAGTGATTTTATAGAATAACCGGTAATTATGCATAATCACCACTAAATTTGGTAAATATGATAAATTTTTTTAAAATAACCATTTTGTTTGCATAATTCCCGACTTGTAATGGTAAATGTAATAAAAGTCCCTAACTTTACGAAAATTCGTTCAGTTTGCGCAACTGCTTGGCCTCTATCAACACGTTATGTCAGTAGTAGTTCTCATTTCGTAGCATCTACACTTTTCTTCGTTAACGTATTTTGTAAAATATTGATTAATGGCTGAAATGCTTGAGCGTTTTAATTCCAAATTAGTTAATATTTTGAATACTAAGAAAACAAACAGTGGTTTTCTGACGAAAGGAAGATAAGTGAATAATAATAAAACCGGGCAGTGGCACTTTACTTTAAAAAAAACATTAGTGTAGGGTATACCGGGCAAATGTATCCCTGGCAGTGGCACTTAATCTTAAAAAAAAATCAGTGTAGGGTATACTTTAATTTTTAATTGCATTACTTTCCAAAAAAAATATTAAAAATGCATAACTGCCTAAAACTAAAATATTAAATTTTTTAAAACAAATTACTTATTTTGGCAGGAAGAGCTACTGTGAGTTTGGAATTACAAATTGTTTTTGATTTTTTTTACATATGCAGTGACTGGAGTTGCACTTGCTTCTACAATTACAATACTGAAATAATTGACCACCTAAGTTTGAATCCTTATGAGAGCATTCTCTTAGAATTATTTCATTCACTGGAAAAGATGCAAAGACTGCAAAACGCACCTCTGTCAGTCTCTTATTCGAATTTCGTTCAGGCTAAATAAATATATGTGACTTAAAATAATCATTTATTGACTTTTTAACTGTAAAATATAAAATATTTTAATTCGTGGTCTCTTGCGCTATAGTGTCCAACGAAAAAATATTTTTCTGAGTTGTAACTACTCAAATGAAAAACTGCGCTCTATTTCCCACTACTGGCCCAATCAGTCATTATATTTATCGCATTTACCATTAAGAGTTAGGATTTATGCAAACTAACCGGTTAATTTGATACATTTTCACAAATTTATCATATTTACCAAATTTAGTGGTGATTATGCATAATTACCGGTTATTAAATATATATTATCACCAGTTTATTACTTTTACCGTGACATATGTATTGAATTTTTCATATAAAATATTAAATTAAAATTATTATTTCATATTGAAATCACTTTTTTAGTTCAAAATATTTATGGTGAAATTTATCCTTGAACTATTTGGCAACGTATTTGGCCTCTTAACTAAATATATTATTTGAAAAAATTTTTAAAATTACCTTTAAAACTAAACGTGAACACGGCCACTATCTTTAAAATGCTGAGATTTCGCGGTAGGTAAATTACGTAAAATGTCCAAAGGAAAGAGGTAAAAACAATCCTTGGGAAAAAGCCTTCAACGTGATTTATCCACTCTTCACACTTTTCCTCTCTCCGTTACCATAGTATTTGCAAATCTAGCTCTTTCCCCATGCCAGTAAATTCCTATTTCTTACTGATACGTACTGCCATAGGGTTTCCACCAGACGCTTTTCTGTAGCCATGGTAAATGAGAGGAGGAAAGTGTGGAGAGTTTGCAAAATCACGTAATCTTGAGACACCTAATCGATTTACGCAGAGTATAGTTAGTGATAGAAAACCAAGCATTCAAAGCAATAAGTGAATTTGTGAGGGCGGTTGCAGTTTATTTTAAGTTAATATACAGGATACTAAAATGGTTTAGAACGATTGTTGACTAAAGTGAATGATTTACAATTTACTACCTGAGCATGCTTTTTTGTCGACAGAAAGTTTGAAAGCATGCTTTTTAATCGACTTTCACTTTAAAAACGTGAGCACAGATATTGGTTGATGAGAATTAAAAGAAAATTCTTCTTGGACTAAAATAGACTAACTTTTCTTTTTCAAACAGGAAAAAAATACCTTGCAAATTTTTTGCAAAGAATTTTGATCTTTTGGTATAAATTTTAAAATCGCAGCAGTGACTTCAATTTGAAAATGTCTACTTCAAGGGTTTACATTTTTTAGCTTAGTACAAAAGTCAAAACAGTTTGTGAATATATAGTGCTCTACAAAATTATAATCTCACATAAATGATATTAATTTTCATGGAAAAAAAACCTCTTCCATAACCTTAAATTAAAATGTAATAAACATAGTGTTCATACTCAGCTAAGCGTATTTTACAAGTAATAAAATTTATGTCACAAAAGTATATGTATCACAAAATTATAAAACCACAGAAGGCAATTTAAGTTTACTTCAATCTGAAAAGAAACAAATTTAACCTAAAAATTAAATACTGTTAACTTCGGTCTGTTCAAATATTATGTAATCATCTTTTTGCATTCTTTAACCCCCTTCTAAGCAAAAGTAAGCGAACTGCAAACCTATGCTTATTTTCAGCTTTAGCAATAATAATAATAAACTTCAGCAATTTAGCGTAAAATATCCTCAGTGATAGACGGATCATGGGTAAGAGTCCCCTTGCCGTCAGGCTAACCCTGTAACCCAAATGCGGGTAAAATGCATCAAAACACGAAGGCAAATTTCTCCCAATACTTGATCCAGGAATTCCCTTGTCTTCTGGATTGGGTTCAAAACTACGGAGTTGAATATTAGTAGTCGGTTCAACTAAGTTCCGGAATCACGTTCTTCCACACTAAAAAGTGGGGTTATAATTTTGTGATATTGTATTTATTGTTTTAAGTAAGACTTCCCTTTAAAGAAATGTGGGTGGAGGTTCCCTCTTAATTCACTAACATTTCAGGGTTCACTAGGCCTAACCACTTACTGCAGGATGCTTCTCTTCAGGACTAAAAAAGATTCTGGACCGTCTGTGGAAACTTCAACAACCTATGATAACAGCAGTGGTGCAGAAAATGGGCTTCACAAGTTTTACAAGAGAGCTTGGGAAAACCTCCGTTATGATGGAAAAAGTTCTGCAGGTGGTTTGGATAAATCTTATTTACCTATTACGTTACAAGAAACGCTTGATGGCAATAATGGAAGGGGTACTATTGAAGGTTTTCGTGATGCTAGTGAAATTACTGTAAATGACGTGGCAGCCCTATATACACGTCCTGATAAAAAACATTCTGATGAAAGGGAAGAGAGCCCAGACAGAAATAAAAAAGCCATTAGACAATGGTACAGTCAACAACTGGGACATCATTCCAGAAGAGGAGCTTTCTGATTCCATTTATTTTTATTTCATATTCATGCTTGCTCTTTAATGTCAATGTAGCACAAAGTCTCCTAGTTGTCTGGTCACTGAAATTAAATTACATTTTATGAAGCATATAAATTTATCAAAAAATGAATTTGAAAATTTATGTTAAAAAACCAGTAACAGAACGAGTGATTACTATTGAATCTGCAGACTATTTATCAAAAAAACTAGTGGCATATCGAATGATTATCATTGCATCTGCAGATTATTTATCAACAAAAAAAAAGTAGCAGATCGAGTGATTATCATTGCATATGCAGATTATTTATCAAAAAAAAAAAGTAGCAGATCGAGTGATCATTATTGCATCTGCAGATTATTTTTAAACTAAATTTTTTTTTCATTTTTAAAAAGGGGGTAAATAGCTGATATTCTTTTTTTAAAAGATCTCTAAACTTAGTACTAATAAAAATTAAAAAGCTGATTTTAGAAAACACCACAAAGAACAAAAAGTAGATAATAGTTTACAGTTACTTGATTACAGGTTTAACTGTGTAAGGATTTCTTTAATTTTTTTTAATTTAAAAAAAGGAGGAAAAAAAAAGAAGTATTTTTAAAAGAAAAAGAATATTTTATAAAATTTAACTTAAATTAAAAGTTATGTGTAATTTTTAAGGAGCTTATATTTGAAAATTTCGCTATATGTACACTACCCTTCAATAATGGAAGAGACACTTTCAGTTTTTGACTTTTTTTTTTAAATTTCTCAAGAAAGACTTGGAGAAATATTTTGTAACTTCTAGAAGTTCGCGCAATTTTGCATACTTACCAATAAGATTTAAAACTTTCAGAGGTTTCAGGCACCAACAGTAAATTATGAAAGAAAACATGGATTTTTGAATACTCTATGCCAGAAATTTAAGCATAAACTTGTAACTTATATCGATTACTTCGGTTATTTACAATAACTGCATAAAATTTCATAAACTTAACTTAAATATTTATTTTTCCAACGGCCACCTGGATAATGACCTAGGTCATACATGCATCTGAAGGGCTGATTTGTTGGCCACTCTTTCAGGGGCACCATATTAGGTGGGCCAACGTTGCTCCCCACCTAATGCAGTAATGCATTTTATGCAGTAAGGACAGATAGTAAAGAGAAGGAAAGAACATCCATGCCTTGCCCGGGATTCGAACCCAGAACCTTTCTGACGTAAGGGCAGTTCCCTAACCCCTACACAGGTCGGTCAGCTCTTAAATATTGATGGAAATATGGATATTTTTATTAAAAAAATAATCATTTTTTTGTCTTACGTTTTCTTTTTACTGTAACTTTAAAAATATTCTATAAAATTAAAAGAAATTTTTGAGCAATTTAAAATTGATTAAAAAATTATTGTTTTAAAATAGAAAAAATATCGTTAAAAACTGCCCAAGATATGAGTAATTAAAAAAATATTTTTTATTAATTTTGCAGTGAATCGCATTTAGCAACTAGTGGCATTATACTAGGGCATTATACCCGTATGCCCTAAATAAGGGCGGGTCGGGGTAAATTCTTCCATTTAGCAACTAGTAAAAAAAGTCTGATTTGAATATCATAAAAATTTAAAAAGTTTCAAGCATTTTTCTAAGTGCTTTTTGTACTTTTTATAAGAGAGCTCAAAATGATCAGGGGTTTTCCACAAATTTTACATTGCAAATGACTCTACCCTTTAACAACCTATAATGAAAACCCCTTATACATTTTAGCTTTCTTTTAAAAAGAACAAAAATTGCTTGAATCTTTTTAAATGTTTAAGATATTCAAAACAGATCTTTTTTTCATTTGTTGGCAATCACGATTAAATCACAAATTGATTAATCACAAAATTATGGAAAAAAATTTAATTTGTTTTCCGCGCATACGCAATATAAAAGAATTACTTTAAATACTCATATCTTGAGCAGTTTTTTAAAAAAAAATTTCAAATTTCAAAGTAATAATTTTGTAATTAATTTTAAATTTTTCAAAAAATTTTGCTTTACTATATCGAATACTTCCAAAGTTATAACAAAAAGAAAGTAATACGAAAAAATTAGTTTTTTATAAAAATGTCCATATCTCCATAAATATTTAAGATAAGTTTACAACATTTTATGCAGTTATTGCAAATAACAACCAAAGTAAAAGTTTATTGCTTTATTTTCGGGCATAGGGTGTTCGAAAATATTTGTTTTCTTTCGTAATTTACTGTCGATCTTTCAAATCTCTGAAAGCTTTAAACCTTATTGTTAAGTAAAAAAAATCGCATAACCTAAACACCTCTTAAGTAAAAATATAATCCTCTTAGGCTATCTTGAGAAATGTCAAAAAATGTGAAAAACTGAAAGTGTCTCTTCCATTATTGTAGGGTAGTGTACACATAGTAAGGGAACAAGTTTCATTATTCCTATGATTCTTCAAAGAAAGATTTCACAATACAAGTTTTTATACCATTACAAAAAGGCATGTAAACCTTTTTAAAGTGTTATTTTTAATACATGATCTGATGTTTAAACAAACATCAAACTTTCATCCGCCAATACAAAATAAAAATATTTTTGTATTAAGTCATAAAAGCTTTATTCCATACAAAGAGATATTGAGTATCAAAAATGATTACATTAATGATGTCATTACAAAACTGTATTGTTAACCTTTTATAATTTATTCAAATATTAAATAATTCATATTTAATATTTTGCGTGATTTACTTTTTCTTAGTATGTACTACATTTTAACTTAAGAGAGTGCTGATGTACTAAAAGAATTTTTATTCTTTTCATTGTTTGTTCTTCGTATTTAAATTATTACCTTTCTGTCATTATTTATTATATCATTCCTTATTGTGCTGTTTTTATCAATTATATTTTACTTTTCTTATTGTACTTTTTTATTCTATTTAATTAACTTCATGATATATGTTACTATAATTTTATTAGTTTGAATATGTTCATCAATGTATGTTACGTAATTTTTAGAGATGTGCTTTTTTGTAAACATTTTGTAATATGTTAACTACACTGAAACAGATTCAATATTTTATTATTATATATATTTATTTGCCAAAAGTCAAATAATAATAAAATAATACTTTTAAATATTTATGAGTTATTTTATATCCACGTATACATAACACCAAAGTATTTAATTTTAAGGACCAATCCTCTGAAATCATTAATTGGATAAAAATAAATTTAATTAATAGTTAAATTATCTTTATTTTAGCTTTGAATTATTTTTACTTTAGTTTTTTGCTACTTATTATAGTCATATGAAATTTTAATTATAAATTACGAAAATTGATTATTTCTCTTTAGTTGTTCAGTGTACTACATGATAATTATCCGAATAACTTTTTATCTAATTTTCACGTAGTAACATACGACCTTAATAGTTCGAAGAATGTACTTTCCATAACCTTTTGCCTACTGCTGGTACAACTGATGGTCCAGAATAGCAAGTGCAATCTGGCACCGTGGGCTAAAGGTTAAATAAGCGTACCTTTATCTAGATCAATTTTTGACGCTCAGAGGAGAAATATGGATTATCCGGAAAATATGGCTCCAAAAATTTAATCAAGAAAGTGGTCTAAACTGTAGGCACCTCAATGATTTTACCTTCTGCGCCCACGTATTTATAGCTATTTAAACAAATTTAAAAAATTGCACACATTTATAAGTCTTATTAACCGAAGATCTAAATAAAAAAAAATTATAATTTATTTAAATTAATTAAAGTCGCAGAAATGCTTGAATTGTGACGTAGACAAATTTCTGCATCATTTTAATTTGAAATGAAAAAATCCAAAATTTGAACGGAATCGGTAAAATAATCCTTGAGAAATGAAAATTTTAAACCACGATTTTCTCAAACTTCATTACTCAGTGACAATTTGACCAATTTCCTACGAATATTATATTTTGTTATTTAAAATTATTTAAATAAAAAAAATCTATGTTCTCTACAATAAAAAAAAAAACATTTCAATCAGTAATAATTTGAATAAAAATAATTATGCACGTATACACAAAGAATAATAATAAAATAGAAAAACTTTTAATGGGAAAACGTAAAGGTCTTTCAGGACACATCCTTTACAATAAGTGCGATATTTCTGAATAAAGAATAATTATCCTAAGATAAAAATTGCTCTTCATAATCTGTCTCTCTCTTTCTATATATATTGCATTATCTTTGGAAAAACAAGTTTCATAATTATGCTCAAAAGTATCTTAAACAGTTCCAGAAACATGGCAAATTACGCAAAAAGCATCGATTGCAGAGTGCTCCTTGATTGCCAACAACTGTATATACGATCCTTTTATCTAATTAAGTTGAAATTTCAACTTACGTTCTCCAATAACAGGAAATTTAAATTTCTCACAAGGAAGCCAGGACTATGTCAACAATTTGTTTTCTCAACTCCTGAGCAGTAATCCGCTTATTCGGTATAATTCAAAATCAAAGCTGTTGTCATTTCTAATTATCTTCCGTAAAGTTGATTACGGAAACAGTTTCAGGAGATTCACTTGATAAAGAAGAGTCTCCTTACATTCAGGAGAATCGGATGTTTTGATTATTTTCGTTTAAGCATTGTTTTTAATGAAATCGAAAAAAGGAAAACATAAAATTAGAAGAGTAGTAAATCCAAATGATGATGTTAAGGGCCATACGAAAGGCAGATTTCAATACTTTTGCATTGGCATCCTAACGAAATAGTATTGGAATTCATCACCTGTCTCCTCAGTGTGTTTGCGCATGCGTAAGAAAGAAGGGGAGTTTCTTTGTTGTGAAACCTCTCTGGAGCTACAACTCTCTGTTCCACAGTAAAAGGGTCGTTAATAGAGGTTGGGTCATTCTTGGGTGTTACCTCCATTGACTTCAAAAATTTTATCGAAGGTACATGATTTTTCGAAAATGATTTTAATTTGACTCAGTGTCATTTCTTTGGTGCGGAAATACCACTTGTGTTGGCGTCGTGAAAACCAGATCGATGAATAAATTTAGCTTCAATGAAAATCATCCCTACTGATATAATGATATGTAAATAAATTTCCCAATTAGGAATGATAGAACTATTTTAAATAAATAATTACGTTTTATAAGTAAACAATTGATTTTATATCATAAAAAGTAGGTTTAAAAAAAGAGAAGAGGTTTGTTTGAGATGCTTAGTTTTTTTCTAATTTAACTTTCAACTCGACAAATAAATCAGTTATAACATCGTCTTTAGTGCACCCAGATTGTAACATGAGGTTGTAGGTCTCTTTCAGAGAGCTCTCTAAATAAGAGCCTTATACAAATATTTTGAATCTACTTATTTGTTTTGATATTTTTTCGTGTTTCCTTATTTGACCTTGTTCTTATTTCGTGTAGAGGTCTGCCCGGTCACTGGGGGAGGTTTTGATGCTCTCTCCTAAAGGTTTTCTTTAACTCAAAGTCACTGGAAAAAATTCCGTGCCTGTGAAAAGTGGTCTTTCCTGAAGGCTTTACTGTAACATGTTAGTACTTTGTAAACTATATTAAAAGGATTAGATAATAAAAAGAATAGTAAACAAGGGGGAAGATTACAGGTGTGTGGGGGAATTATTTGTGTCGATTTCTATTTAACTTACCACAGGGGTCACAGTCCATTTTTTCTTCTCTTTTTGCTACTTTAAACATTTTCAATCCACACAGATAAATTTCGGTACAAAATATGTAATTTATGACACACGTACAGTATTTTCTAGAACAGGAGTCGCAACAGAAAATGTAGATTGTATTGTAGAAGAGAAAGGTTTTATAGCTTTAAAAAGTTAACTTTTCATCAGTAGCCTATGGGTGAGATACTTGCTTTACACGAACTAAAGTGTCAAGTACCTGTCACCGACTTAAACTGAAAAAAAAGCGTATAACAAAAAATAGTAAAGGATTCTGAGAACAGGTTGGGGTTAAATAAGAAAATTTTTGCTCCAATCAGCAATAAGCGATCTCAACGCTAATAC